ATATATATATATATATATATATATAATAAAATTTCTGTCCCCCTCACTTCTGAAATGGCTACGCCCCTGATAGCAACCATTCCTTTGCTACCGCCCACATTACTCTGACCAGTCATAACTTAGTGCTGACTTCAACCAATCACATTTTGTTTTACAATCAGGGCAGCAGATGACAGTATTTTGACTGATATAGTCAGTGGCACTCTCAGATCATCAGAATGGTGTTGCTCATCCGCTTTTATTTACAGAATTGCACCCGCTCTACATTCTGTGACTGTCTGCCTTTCTCTGTAAAATAAATGGTCATAAATGGTCACAAGCGTGCCGCAAAAGTGAAGCCAAAGTGTCTGGCTGCAGTATAGGTCATAAACCCCGCCCTCTCCATGTAATGTAATGGGACCTGAGACAAACCAAACAATCAAATTACACTTCAAATATTTTTTTTCCAAAGAGATTTTCTGTCATTTTAGGTAGTTCTTAGCATGCTGATGTATGTTCAAGTGTTCATTTTTCTAATAAGTTTGCTTTTAATTAGTTATTTGATGCTATAAAAACGGGGTGTGGTGTCATGATTGTGAGCTTGCGATTGGGTCTGCGGGAGTTTGGGCGGGACTTTGATACCGTGGCTCCACCTCACGATCACTACTGCGCAGACTCGGGCTCCAAATGACGTCATTTTCGCAAGATGACAGCGGCCATACTGTGAATGCTTTGGCTTCACTTTTCTATAGTGGAAGGAAGTGGAGATGCGTCGTCCATCTTTTTTTTTTACAGTCGATGGATGGTCTGTTTTTCAGGATATAGCTGGTCTGTTTGTTTGTTTGTTTTTTACCGGCGATATACTTCCCTCCCCGCTGCACTATCCCACTTCTGCTGTTATCAGTCTGCCCATGAGAAAAGTCTTCTCATCTGCACAAAATAAGATGTAGCACCAGGAGTACTTGGTTACAAGACATGAACAGAATCCAAATAGTTTCAATAGAACTTTGCACAGTAATGTAAAATGTCTTCTGTGGCAGCAGTGCAGAATCTCTTGGCTAAGCTAGTTTGTGTATAAAGTGCGGGCCAGTCCTTCCTCTTACAGAAATAAATCAGCTGACTCCTGACACTCAACCTTAAATCACACCTTCAGCCGTATACAATGCCTCAAAAGGCATCAAAAAGACAAAAAAAAAATATCCCTGGAACGTTTGCCAAAGGAGCGCCGGAGATGTGTTTGGTTCAGGCTGCACTCTCCACAGCTGCATTTCCTTATAAAGCCATCCCCAGAGTCCAGACACATGCAGAGCCTTCCTACAAACTTCAGATCAGGCAGATTTGACTTTAAACCCCTGCTTGTTAAAAGCTACTTCATTGGGTTCACACATAGCTGTCACGATTCATCTTTTGATAACGTGAATGTTGTTTATAAGTATTTGCGTCTGTTTTTAATAAGACTTATTCATAATAAATTGGCAGTTATAATCAAGGACAGTCCAGTGTTTCCACAGGTTTGCCTTAACTTGTAGTTGTACTTGTAGCCACAGAGTAAAAGTTGTACTTCTAGCTGTAAATTAGTATTTATATTTGTAGTGTACTTGTAGCCACAAATTATAGTTGTACACATAGTTGTAATTCTAGCCACAAAATGTAAGTATTGTAGTTGTATTTGTAATGTACTCACATTAAAGTACCTGTAGCCACAAATGAAAGAAGTTGTATTTGTAAGGTACTTGTAGCCACAAATTAAAGTAATTTTGTGGCTACAAGTACACTACAAATACAACTACCTTAAGTTTGTGGCTACAAGTACCTAACAAATACAACTAAAGTAGTTGTATTTGTAGTGTACTTGTAACCACACATTAAAGTAGTTATAACCACACATTAAAGTAGATGTATTTGTAAGGTACTTGTAGCCACAAATTAAAATAGTTGTATTTATAGTGTACTTGTAGCCATAATTTAAAGTTTTTCCTAAAGTACTATAGTTGTACTTCTAGCCACAAATCAAAATTTCCACAGGGTTGCCATGCGAGAATACAGTCCAGAACACCAATACATGAACAATAAAAGAATGATGCAGTTGTGACTAGAGATAGATAACAATTGCTAAATGTCAGTCTAGTATTAGGCTTGTATTTAAGTATTGCTGATTCTTGCAAACGTAGTTCATATGAGGCAAACTTTGTTGCAGCTCATATTGTCAGAAAGGTTTTCCAGAAAGCCTCTTTTTAGTTTGGGGATACCAAGAGCAGCACACATTTATATTTATTCATTTGGTAGATGCTTTTAGCCAACGTAATATTCTGGCTGTAGTTTTCTCAGTATATGTGCTCTCTAGGAATCAAGCCCTGTGACCTTGGCATTACTGTGGTATCTGTATTTCAGAGTGAGTGTGATGAAGTGAATCTTGAAGAGATTCAATGTCTTAACCTTCTTAAAGCTGAGAATTTGTACTTGTGAGCAGAATGTGTTTTATTGGTTTTGTTGAATGCTGTGTAAAGTACTCTGACATGGCTGTTTTTTTTTTCGTTAGGCCGCAGGTAATGCTGTCAAGAGGGCATCGGATAACCTGGTGAAGGCGGCACAGAAGGCTGCATTTGAGGCTCACGATGATCAGGCTGTGATGGTGAAGAGCAAGATGGTGGGCGGTATCGCTCAGGTAAAGAGAATATCACTTACAAGTCAAATTCTAGCACATTTAGATACATATTAACTGTGTTTTATTAGAGTATTTCCAGCACAACGACTGACATTTTTCATGTTGTGAATAAAAGCATGCAGTACGTTACAGTGTCAGTTTCATATTGCTGCATGTCAAGTTTGTTTTTACTTGGCCTGCCATAGTTGATTAACACATGCAATGTTATTTAAATGTTATTAGTGTTAATGACTATAAACAACCAATACATTTTTAACACATTTATTCAATTTGACATTGTAACCGCTCTGTTTTGTGGGATTTCTAAAAACATTGTGGATTTTCATCTGGATGTGTGTGTGCCGTCAGATCATCGCTGCTCAGGAGGAGATGCTCAGGAAGGAGAGAGAGCTGGAGGATGCCAGGAAGAAGCTGGCCATGATCCGACAGCAACAGTACAAGTTCCTGCCGTCAGAGCTCAGAGAGGATGGACAGGATCAGTGAGCCGCATCAGAGACTAATCAGTGACATTGAGTTTGAGAAAAGTAATTAATGATATGCAATGAGTAAAAAGTGAACTATGTATCAGGATGTCTATTTTAAGTGTTTTGTTTATTTCTGTCACTTTTTTGAGAATTGCCATGCCAGCTTTATTGTTTTGTTGTATTTGGATAATATGCCGCATATACAAGTCATTTTTAATTTCTTCTAATAGATCTATAATATTTGTTTCAGTACTAGATAGATTAGATGAGCAGTGCGTGTTTTGAAAGTTTGTGATCATGGCAGGGGCCAAACAGTGTTTGTAAGCTTTTCAAGACAAGATTTGGACTTTCTCAATTTGTCTTCTGTTCTTCTGACAGTCGACAGTTTTTTTTTTTCCTCTTTTTCTTATTTTTTGTGGCAATTTGGACCAGCGGTGCAATGATTAACTTTGCGTTGGAACAATAAAAAGAGAAAACGTATCATTTTCTAAATAAAAGAATAATAAAGCTTTGAAATGTTACAAACAGTATCTCTGGGTAATGTTTTTGCAGTGTCACAGTTTGCATTTGTGACAACTTGGTTTACAGGCATTTCTATCAAAAGTATATCTTTTATAAAGCATAAAAGCCATATTTTCATTTTTGTTTTTATAATGTTTTTTTGTTCTTTTCTTGCAGTTTACTGTTGTAATTTACTGATGTAAGTCCCATTTAGATGTGGACAGACAATATTAGATTAAAAAAAGATTTGTAACAGAAGAATTGGTTCATTAAAATGATTGTGTTAGTTATTATAAAGAACTGTTTTAAATAAATTATAAAGACTGTTATTAATATATCAAATACATAAACAGTTTAATTTTTCACCATTACTGCCTTTCCTGTTGCATTCAGTATGTTCTGAATCTTGCCTGCCTTTATATTTTATAATTGTGTATTTATCTGTTAACAGTTTCTCACTTAAAATAAGCAAATGCACTTAGCAAATGTGTTTAACTAAAAACTCATAAATTCATTGTTTTGCAAATATTTCCTATTGCATTTGTGTGTGTTTTTTTGTTTACTTGCATAGACCAATAACATAACATAATTACTGAGTCATTAATGAACATTATATCATACTTAAAATATAAGTACTTCTTGTGCATTCAAATATCAAAGTGAATAATTATTTGCTTGGCTAAAGAGATTTGTATCTAATCTAGACTTACACTGAGAGTATATCTGAGTTGTGAACATTACCAGGAACGCTATTCCAAAGTTTAGAAACTATATACAAAACAGCTCTACCTCCTTCCATGGTGCTATTATAAAATGTAACTGATGAGATTAGAATTTTGATAAGAACTGCTGCGCTGGAACCACATGCAGCTTGTTTATGGAGGCTGTGGAATATACAGCCTGCACAGTACATTACAAAAAATCTAGTCTTCAGGTGATAACACATGAACTAGCTTCTATCGGGGACATGTTCCGTAACTTAAGAAATATTTCAGTAGAAGAATGCTTTCTATAAAATTGGAAAAGCAGATTTCAGTAAATAAATTGTTGCCAAGCATGACACACACAACTGTAGAAGATGATGATAGCATTATGCTTAAAGCTTCAAAAGTTTTTGGTGATTAATTATTCCTCATTTTGACAGAATTTAGTAGATGAAAATTACTGGACATCCATTCTTAAAAGTCATTAAAATTAATCTGAACAAATTTGAAAAATTTTGAAATTTTATCTGAAGGATACTGCATGTAAAGCTAACTGTCATCAGCATAAAAATGAAAGCCTTGTTTCATGATAATATTACCTAAGGGGAGCATGTACAATGAATACAAGAGGACCTAAGACTGAGCCTTGTGGTACTTCGTATACTTAACTTGTGTTAGGTTTGACAATTACTCCGTTCTCATTTGCCTAGACACTGAAATCCATTATTGTTCTTTGTAAAACTGCAAACCCAAATTCAGCACTTTATGCCATGTGTTCATAAAGAAAGTACTAGCATTCAAAACCCATCACAATGTCAAAACAACCCACCATTGAACACAGCAGGCAAATTATATGACAAAAATCAGTGGAAAGAGGAAATCATTGTCTAGGCAGTGGTGGTTTTTGAGAACATTACCTTTAAGTCATAAGTCATGCAGCGTATCATAAGGATGCTGCTCATAAATATCATGATGAAATTTGAGTTAAAGATACTCTATAGACAGTGTTTAATGTACGATTACATCAGTAGTTGTTTTTTTTCCAGGGCACTTGAATAATCCTGACCTCATATCTTTTTAAGTATAACTGGAGAATGAGGATTCAGAGCCTCCCAAACATGGACAAAATCACAGGGTCAAATGCAGAGCCCATTCAGCAGGACGAATCAGAGCAGGGGGACGTCACTCTCCCAGAGACTTTAGAGTAGTTTCCAAAAAAGACCAGAGTTCCTCTGGAGAGGATTCCAGCCGCCTCTCTGCTGTGCACTCAGCTTTGTCCGTCTCTGCCTCCACTCTCTGAACAAGCTCTCCTCTTTCTCCTCGGCTGCTAGCAGAAACCCAGGAAATCAACCATGGAGGCCATCAAGAAGAAAATGCAGATGCTGAAGCTAGACAAGGAGAATGCCATAGATCGTGCAGAACAGTCCGAGATAGACAAGAAAGGTGCAGAGGACAAATGCAAACAGGTAAATGGAATGAGTTCGGTGAACTGAAATCCGATTATCAGACAAGACTTTTTTTCTGTAGATCCATCCATGTTTCTGTTGTTTTCCATCTGTGTCTAATTTAACTCTGTTAAACTGGGAGAAGTGGACGAGAAAAAGTATGAGGAAAATTGTCTAAGCAGTAATAAAAATATGAGATATGTACTTTAAGTAAAGCTTTTTTGGTGTCTTTTCCCTAAATACAGAGTACAGGAATTGTATCATTTGACCTTCCATGTATATGTAGTGTATATGAATCATCAGTAATCATCTGCTCAGTGTCATCAACTCCAAACACCGATGATTAATCCCAGTTTATGGTCCAGCATCTCTGATGAGTTGAACTATTTTTAGTCTTGTTCCTTAAGATCCGTCAATCAGGACTAACTGAAATGGCGATGCCAAATATAGTGGTGTAAATATGTTAGTATATTTAAGTAGGTATACTTGATTACAGCCATTTCATTAAGAGGCCCAGGCTGACAGGAACTACATTTTCCACTATTTGATTAAATGCCACACAAATAACAGCACGACCAGGCCTGTCACTTTAGATTTATTTATTGACCGTGATGAATGAATTGTTCCTGTAGATCTTTCATTGCCACTGTTTTTTACAGAATCTGTCGTCCTCAATCATTTAAAGGAAATGTCAGTTAGAAGTTCTCTATAACTATTTCACTAAAAGCCATTTTAATGAAGGCTTCTTCATCAAGAACACTGTCGTTCTTTATAATGGAAGCGCAGCTGGCTTTTCCATGAGAGCAAAAAACGTGAAACAATTTTGTCGGAGCACATGTACTAGGATATAGTTCACAAACATTATATCCATTTGATTTTGAATCGGTGACCTCAGAATATCTCATTTACTAGAACTGGATTGGTTCCTTTTACCAAGTTTATATGTGCCTGAAACTGATTTAATTTCTTGAAAGCCTGCTCTGATGGCCCAACTCCATCTATTCTTGTCCCAAGGCCTTTGTTATTGCACCCCTGTTGGTCACCACACATGCTGTCCTTGATCTTTTTTTGTCCCGCTCCACCTTCATAGAATTGTTCAACATAATAGGATCAAGGCTTTGTACCACCTGGAGCCACCGGGCTGCGTTTGACGCCGAAGCCGCGATGCTTCTCATAACTGTCCCGGCAAGGCATCCGTCATGAGTGCATTGCTTTGAAACCGTTCACTTGTTCCGTCATCCACCGTAGCTATTTTACACTTCTCAATTTATGAGCTGACCAAAGTGCAACCTGCCTATAAAGCTGGGCTCTATTTTTGCAGCCAGCATTATCTGCTCTGTGTTTCCATATGCGGAAGCCGACCGTCCCGCTGGCTCACAATAAATAGAGGCTGGTTTATGACACTAAGCCATGTGTGATGTTATGGTTAATGGGTGGTGGTTTACTTGACTCTTGTTAAAAGGGTGCGTGGGTGGGGGTGACCAGCAGCAGCTGCTGCAACTCTCCACTTTAACATAACTTTGCCGTTTATAATTGTCTCCTCATGCCCTCCCCAAACAGCCCACCTAAACAAGACGCTCAGTTATGAGCCGGGATTTACAGATCATCATAATTCATTGGTGTAGGAATGAGCTCAAGATGGGGGACACAATACTTGATAAGTAATGATCTTCCAAAATATGGAGAAACAAAAGTTTCTAAAAAATTTCTACCCTGAATTTGTCCTTCAGTCGGTCTTTCTGTAGTAGTATTCAAATCAAGCATCGAGAACCTGGTCAAATAAATGCTTTTGAATAAAACGAGTAATTTGACAGTATTTTCAGTGCTTAATGTGTGTGTTTGTGTGTGTAGCTGGAAGAGGAGCTCTTGGGCCTGCAGAAGAAGCTGAAGGGTGTGGAGGACGAGCTGGACAAATACTCCGAATCACTGAAGGACGCTCAGGAGAAACTCGAGCAGGCCGAGAAGAAGGCCACAGACGTGAGTGACACACAAATCATTAAAGATTCAACACATCTCTCATTCACTCCTTGTTTGGTATGCTATATATGCACAGTTTACACTACAGTTCAATTTTTTTAAAAGATAGAAATTAATACTTCAGCAAAGATGCATCAATTGATCATAAGTAACAGTCAAATTCATTTATAAAAGATTTCTATTTCAAATAAATGCTGTGCTTTTGAACGTTTTTACTAATCAAAGCGAATTAAATCCTAAATCCTAAAAATAGGCCAGTGTTCGAACATAAGATCTAGACATGACATGTTTAAGTCAGACAAGATGTGTTCAGGAGCTAGTCAGCATGCGTCCTCCTGTGGCTGCAGTCAGTATATGTAAAGCTAGCCGTGTGTGGTGGTGGAGAGATCAGGCCGTTAATCAAGAGAGCGGCCCGCACTGATTGGGGCCCGTCCTGTCAACAGCTGCTCTGCTGCCAAACCCACCCACAGTCTCAGATTCTCTAAACACTTCATAAACACTGTCAGCACCTCACAGCTGAGCTGACTGATGTGTGCATCTTACCACTTCACCAAAGACCCGTTTCTGCATATGGCTGCGTTTTCTGCTGGATTCTGTTGGTCTGATACCTGTCATGTTTCCATGGTTTAACACGACCTTTGACCTTTCCACACTCACACTGTCAAATCTCAATACTCTTCACTGATGACCAAAATACAAGCACGATATACTTGATCTATAATGCAATATACATTACCCAAAGTTACAAATGGTACTTCCATTGTCTTTTTAGGCAATCTTTTTTCTGGACATTTTTTGACACTGGTATTCTTCACCACAGTATCATCTGATACCTTTTCAATAAAGGTATTGAGAGCTATATTGTTAGGTCTGTAGTGTGAAATATTAGTATTTTTGCAATTCAGACCCTTTAAATAGTCTATAGACAGTTTAAATCGCTCACAAAGGTTAGACGACTCTTGGAATGACACCTCTGTTACATATTTATCAAATATGTTAATTAAAAAATATATTCAATAATATTATATAATTAAAAAATACAAATTATTATAAAAGTATCATTTCTAGGTTATTTAAAAAGTGTACATCAATGTACGAAAAATAGAAAATTTAAAAATTTACATTTGCTTAAGAACTGACAGTGGACCGAAGGAAACTGCTTTTTAATTTGTATTTGTATAGAGCTTTTCCCAATCCTCGTTGTTTCAAAGCAGCTTTACAGAAGATCAAACCAGCTTAAAGCCCCAGTGATGTGACTGGCATTGAAAGATCTCCCTAGGATCATGTGTTTGGGTAGAAAAACCCATCC